CCATTCTGGCGACCATCTCAAATGTGTTTCAAAAAAATTGTGCTGATTTACTGCATTGAAACCAGTGAAACGATCAATATTTCAGAGAAGAAAAATTTTTGGTCATGTGGCTGCCTTCTCAACTTCCTGGAATGTTGTTTGGGTGTTGTGTGTGGGAAAATTTATTGTAAAAATACCACTCCCTTCTTTCTATACCGAATTCGGTCTATATGTGAAGTAAGATCTCTCCCATGTTCCGCCAGTCAACTTGGCCCTGTCATTGCTGCTGCCACTGTAAACCTGTAAACTTCCTAATCTCACCTGCCCACCAAACTTTCTGTCTCCCCTTCATGCGTTTTGCATTCTTGGAGATTTCATTCAGTTACCCTTAAGGACCAGCGGTTATCCTGCCTACGTGCTATGTGCCCGGCCCATGTCCATTTCTTCTTCTTGATTTCAACTATCCTTAACTTCGGTTTGTTCCCTGACCCGCTCTGCTTTCTTCTTGTTTTTTAAGGTTACACTTATCGTGTTCCTTTACACTGCTCGCTGCATCGTCCTCAATTCAAGCTGAGTCCTCTTTGTGAGCCTCCAGGTTTCTGCTCCGTAGGTAAGTACCGGCAAGATGAAGCTGTTAAATACCTTCCTTTTGAGGGATAACGGCAATCTACCAGTCTTGCGCTGGCTGATATATCGATCCAACTGCACAAAACCTTCGCTAATGTAAGAAAAAGTACATGTATCGCTAACGTCCCAGCACTTCGGTAGCTTAAGATGTCACAACACCCTGTTGACAGCATTCGGCAAACTTTTTATAACTGATATCAACATATCCGGCGCCTTTCACTAGCAGTGCGGCACAATTGTTCTCTGGTTCACGCTGCCACTTAAAGCGCGTCACTTTCCAATTTTCTATGTGTTCACACTCTTCATGCTTCCAAATGTCAAAAATTAAATGAGAAACAGTTTTTTATGCGTAACATTATCAAACTTAAATAAAATTGGCGAAAAAGAAAGAAGGCTTAGATGCCATTTCATTAGCCGCTGCCTGCGGTGCGCTGTCGTCATTTCGACGGGGGCGACACCTGAAGGCCCGGACGAGAAGCTCGCAACATGCCACTGGCTTGACCGTGTATCAACCACTATTAGTATGTTGTGATTATTCAAGGGTCATCCATTCCATGCCAAATATTCCAGCCATTCTGGCGAACATCTCAAAATGTATTTAAAAAAATTGTGCTCATTTACTGCATTGAAATCAGTGAAACGATCAATATTTCAGAGAAGAAAAATTTTTTGGTCATGTGCCTGCCTTCTCAACTTCCTGGAATGTCGTTTGGGTGTTGTGTGTGGGAAAATTTATTGTAAAAATACCACTCCCTTCTTTCTATACGAATTCGGTCTACATGCGAAGTAAGAGTTCTTGTGTAAGGTGTTTGAAGCTCAGTAATATTAGTGCAATTTTTCTGGCACATATGCCTCGAATAATTAAGTCAAAATGTGTTATGTTACCATTTTTTATTGCAATGATTGATAGATATGTGGGGTTTAACGTCCTAAAACCACCATTTGATTATGAGAGACGCCGTAGTGGAGGGCTCCGGAAATTTCGACCACCTGGGGTTCTTTAACGTGCACCCAAATCTGAGCACACGGGCCTACAACATTTCCGCCTCCATCGAAAATGCAGCCGCCGAGTACCTTAGCCACTAGACCACCCCGGCGGGGCTTTTTTATTGCAATATTGCACTTTGTATGAATATCTGAGTAGTGAATACTTACTCCACAGAAGGTATATTTTGAGGATAAAATATTTTGAGACCCCTCAAGCTCCAAAACATTACGAGAAAAATTCACACATCTCGCAAAATTGTCGTTTTTGTCCCTATTGAGACGCAATTTGCACCATGTGGTGGTCCAATTAAATATCCCTTTTATCCTTCAATCAAAAGCAAATAAGCAGTCCTTTTTTTTATAGCAAATTTTATCATTACATTTTTTGTTTTAGAAAAGAAAAGAATTTTTGAACTTTCCCATTTGCGCTTATCCTTCCATTTGGTTATGCAACAGCTGCCGCCCCATTGCCGTCAATGGGAAAGTTAAAAAATGATTTTCTTTCTTAAAACAAAAAAATGCAAATCATAAGATTTGCCATATGAAAAGAACTGTTTATCTGCTTTAGAGTTAAGTATAAAAGTGACTTTCAATTGGACCATCATATAAAGCTAATTGCATCTCAAGATGGACAAAAAGAACGATTTTGAAAAATTTGTGAATTTTTCTGGTAAAGTTTAGTAGTTTGAGACATCTCGAAAAATGTTTATCTCAAACTATACCTTCTGTGGAGTAAGTATTCACTACTCAGATATTCATACAAAGAGCAGTATTGCAATAGAAAAAATGCAAACATAACACATTGCGGCTAAATTCTGGGAGGCATATGAGCCAGAAAAAGTGCTCTAATATTACAAACTTCAAACACCTTACACAAGAACCTTTACTTAAGATGTAGACCAAATTCGGTATAGAAAGAAGGAGCAGTGCTTTTAAAATAAATTTTTCCACAAACAACACCCAAATGACATTTCAGGAAGTTCAGAAGGCAGTCACGTAACCAAAAAATTTTTTCTTAGAAATATTCTACCATTTTACTGTTTTCAATGCAGTAAATCAGCACAATTTTTTCAAATACATTTGAGGTGGTCGCCAAAATGGCTGGGATATTTGGCATGAAATGACCCTCAAGAGATATCCCCACGTGCCAAGGTCAACAAAGGTGTCCCACAAGGATCGATACTTGGTCCTATATTATTTATAGATTCTGTCAATGACTTACGTGATATTTCAGATTCTCCTAAATTAATCATGTATGCTGAAGACACAAATATTTCTTTTGCTGGTTACTCAATCTCGTAACTCGAAAGCAGTACTATGAACACTAGGCTTGTTCGAATAGTGAATTTTTGGTTCGAAGCAAATAGTGATTTTGGTCAAATAACTTCGAATCAAATTCGAATAGTACATATATATGACGTATTGTAAATAAAAAAAGCATATTTGCCATCACCAAACTAACCTGCACATTTTTATTTTTTTCATGTTGAAACAATGCCTGTGCAAATGCTTTTTTTTTTTTTTGCATCGCAGGATGTGGAAGCAACTTGGAATAGTAGCAGGATATGACCTTTAGTAGAATGCAAGTGATAGCCTGTAAAATGTGTTATGTTTTAAAATTCGCTATACTTAAAGCATATAAGTTGGTATGACGAGCTTTTAAACTTATAAAATGAGGAATCAATGAAAGGCTAACAAGTTCATTTAACCTTGAAAAGGAGCTTCGCGGCTGCGTGGATTTCTCATGAATAGACGTTTTCATGGCTTCATCACCACTTCACTGCAGTGAAACCACTTTTACAAATTATTACATGCAAACTAGTATACACTTAAAAGCTTTCACGGCTTAGCACCTTTCCCCTGCAGTGAAACCACCTTTACAGAAATGTACATGCAGACTAATATGTATTTATTCATTCGTCTCGAATAATTTGAAATTTTCAATAATTTAAACTTGACTAGAAGCGAATTCAAATATTGCATTATTTGTTAGAATATTGGAAGCATTCAAATATTTGCACAAGCCTAGTAAACACATATCAAAATAAGTTGTCTTGCTGGATAAAAATAAACAAATTGCAGCTAAATGCGAGTAAAACTAAATTTGTGTTGTTTCCACCTATCAATAAGCTACGAAACATAGGTCAAAGTGTCTCTTCTGAGGGTCAGACTTTACAACAAGCAAAAGAACAAAAATTTTTGTGTATGTGGTTGTAAGAAGACCTTTCCTGGAATGAACATCTAAATAAATTAGCAGTAGATCTAAGTAGTAGCATTGGATGTATATACAAACTATGTCATTTATTACCACTTTGGTTCAAGAAAGCGTCATATTACACTGTACTACTTCAGATTAAATTATTGTGACTTGTGTTGGAGAAAACAGCGACAGCACGAAACTCTAAGACATTACTTATGTTACAGAAAACGGTACTAAGACTGTTCGAGAGATACTGCGGTCACCCACAAGATCTTAGCACACATCTATTATTTCCCCAATATTTCATATTACAAGCAAACCAAATATAATATTATAAGTTACTTTCGTACATTCAAGATAACAAGCTGTACCCCATGTACAGCTTGTGTGTTGAGTTCTGTCTCCATATGCCTGCATAAAAACACCGAGAACTGGGTCCAGCAACATACATGGTCAACACAACACGGTAAGCAACATACTGAATATCAAATACCGTGTACTCTCAACAAACTGGAAAACCCTCTAGACCTAAAAAGAAAAAACTTCCAAAAATAAGTTTAAAGAAATTCACCTTTATAATTGCCCTTAGTATGCTTAATGCAGACATTTGAATTAGTTACTACTTTATGTGTCCAAATTGTTTAGAGTACAGTTTCAATCCTGGCTGTTTGTTGGCTTGTTTGTTTTAGGAATGTATATGTATGTCGATGCGTTCTCGAATTCACCAATTCTACATATTGCGATAATGATGTTTTTTAGGGTATTTTATTACTATATACTGTTCTGTTCCTTTTTCACATTTGTGATGTTTATTTACCCGATCGAAATTTTCTGATTGTGAGTCTGTATAAAATGTTGTTTCTTTATTTCCGTCCCAAGTTGTGTATGACACATTTTCTGTAAACTAGGCTGTATTTTGGAGCAAAAGCCTCTGTCAGGCTATATAGGTTTCTGCTTTTGCTTCATTTTTTTTCTGTTGTATCTACAAAAAAATGAAAAACCTCAAAAGAGCAAGCTCAGCAGCTCAGAAGCAAAATGGATGTATTGCACAAACTGTAGCACACTTTGAATCCATTGCAAACCGTACTGGCTGCATTAAAAAAGGATGTAATTAATTTACTGTTAAATGGGTTTTGTACTGAATTCCCATATCAAAGCTTCAATTAAAAAAAATTTTTGCCAAAAAGTGCATGGCACACACTCTCACCAATGCTTTCCTGTGCTTGTAAATGAAGTCCTCGGGAGACGTGGCCCAAGCAGGAAGCCTGACATCATCAACCTGCTCTTTTGTTCCTTGTAGTCGCCCTAAATCAAATGCTGCAGAAAAAAATAAGGAACAGTGCATACATTCAAGCAATATGCCAATAACAATTTTAATAAGAACAATATGCCCTGTAATTATGACAACAATAGTTGTTCACTATGAGCCACTTGTGCTTTGTAAGCTAGGCTTTAACCTGACCGAAAGCAGCTAAATTACAGACTGGACGTGAAAACAAGTTGTCAGCAGAAGACCACAAGCATATACCCAGAGGTTACGTGATGGACCGGAAGTGACAACAGAGGTCATGAAAGCCAAGTGATTAAAAATATACTTCGACTTAACTCAACAAAATATAACAAAAATTACACAGACGTTTTGCCATCTATGCGGGTGGCTTCCTCGGTATGCACTGGCACCAAATAAAAAAAGGTCCCCCAGTTTACATCTAGTCTGTACACATCCATTTCTGTACAAATCCAGTAGGGGGGCAATGGTTGTTATTGCACGCCGACATGTCGTGGTGTGCAACAACACCTCGAGAAGCTTTACTTTGCCCTACCTTTGTTCCCGAGCCAGTGTCGTCACATTACAGAAGTCGAAGGAATGCCCCGTTAGCCACAGTGTTGCATTGACCATCAGTAATGCGACGATGCTAGCTCGAAAACAAAGGTGGGGCAAGAGAAAGCTTCTCGAGTCGTAGTTCATCCGTAATATTATTGCAATAATAACTGCGTTATTATTCTGATAGCAATTATGTGGACACTCGATGGGTTTTTGCTGTTGCCGCCATGTTCCGCAACAAGTCCAAATTGATAGTGTGCCCCCATGCATCGTTACTTTTACAAGTGGATAAAAGGACTCGAGCGCTGCTGAAGCAAAGCCGGTCTATTTCTATCGCCTGGAGGGTGCATGCAATAACATCTTCCCGCATTTCAGAAATGCAGTGGACATGTGGGGGGGGGGGAGGTAGTCGTATTTATTTGAGCGACAGTGAACTTTGATTTAAAGAAAGCGATCGTGATCACTAGTGCGCATGCTATATCGGCAAACATCTGTCCGCTTTCTATGCAAAAAGACTGTGTGAAAACAGCAGCTTTCCCTGGAGCAGTTGTAGTTGCTTACACCAGCGTATTGTGGGGGTTCTGCAATATCTGATCGAAAAGAGCTGGCTGTTGACATTAAACATTACAATTTGTTGCTATCGCATTCAATGCATAGTATTCAACTTGCCATCGTGTTGGCAGAGCTAATTGGCTAATCACGAAGGCTACAATTTTACGAGCTCGCAACGTGGTGCAACACATACAGCAAAGAGTGTGGCAAGTCGACCTCCAAAGATGTATTCCTCACCGTGGTCTCTGAGAGTTATCAGTGCCTAATCGGAGATTTACTCGGTAGTAACGACACATTGTCTACATGAAAAAAGAAAGAAAGAAAAAAAGAAAGAAGTTACGCTGAACATCGTCAGGGGCCACTCTATGCACGTGCAGTGAAACCATACACGCACGCATGGCGTCGAAAACGAAAAACGAACGACACAGATACCGTGGAAAATTATTCAGTAAAGTGTTCTTTATATGCAGAGCAGCCTCACATATGTGACGTCTACTAAAAACGTGACAATGCAAAGTGGCATCACCTGCGTCCCTTAAAGAGCAGTTCAGAGACTTCTGAAGCAATTGCAGAACGGTACTGACAATCCAAAAATAGTTTTTTTTTTTTGTTTTTGGTTTGGAGAAAGGGGGAGGGCACATCTACGCATGTGCCCGCAGCGGCAAGAACAGCGACAATGCCGGCTTGAGGGGTGCAGGCCTGCCTGCCCGCCACACGAGGCGCTGGCCACACCAGCACCCAATGAGTGCTCGCTCTCGCCTGGGAATTGCCGAGGCCATAAGCGGGCCGTGTGTGCCGCTGCCGCTTCATGCTTCGGCAGCGGCGGGGCAACCACAGAAGATTCATGCTTGTGCCAAAATGATAAAGTTTGAGGCAAAATTTCTAGATTAACCCATGACGAAAATTCGCTATATACAGAATATGTCCCGCTTTTACTTTGTTACATAGAGGTCACAAATGCACGTGCATCTATGGAGTACTGACGGGAAAAAGAAAAACTTCGTAATATAGAGGAATTCGTTATATGAAGATTCTTTTAATGGAGGTTTAACTGTATATGCATAGGCTCCTGACAGGCTTCAGACAAAAGGCTTCAGACAAGAGGCTGCAAAAACTAATGCAAGAACAACATAAATTTCGATTGCAAGTATTACATTGCAAGTGTAAGAACATACCATTCATGTTTGTCAAGAATTCTGGCAGATAGAAGAATTCGGGAATGAGCTCCTTGACGTCATTGGGACTTTCCATGAGCATTTTCCATGTGCCCTCCACGGAGTGGAATTGTCGGTCTGCCACATCAAACCTGACCACGAAGTTAAATACAAGCACGAAATTTCTTGTTTTATAAGGATGCTTCTGATGCTGTTTCACGATTGAAACTTGAAAAGAAACAAGTATCCAGTGTTATAGATTGCACTACTAAGACTTCACTGCACATTTAAGTCCCTCTTGTAAACGATTTGTAGCATGAATGAGTCAAATGTCAGCACAGGCATTCGCCGTAACAAGAGAAAGATGCATCATTTAAAACTGAACTGAACTGGAAGATACCGAACCCTTAGAAAAAGCTTTACAATAAATATTTCAACAAGCAAGTTAAGAGTGATATCAAACATCTGTGAATGAAGGTAAACAGGAATCAGTCTTCATTATTAACTAACCTTATTATAGTTAACTACAACAAGTGCCGCCTCAAATGCGTCATGTGCTGTTCTGCGCGTATGTATTGCATCGCATGTGTGTTCCATTTATGTATGTTATGTATAACTTCGAGTTGCTGGTCACAATAATACCGAGAAATTATCTCGAGACCTGTACGGTACTTCTTTTTTGCAAATAATTGTTTGTACTTCCACCCTGTAACGGCCCACTTCTGGGCTAACAGTATAAATAAATGAAATGAAATGAAATGAAATCTAAAGAACTGTTTATATCATAATACAGTAAAAACTCGTCAATTCAAAGTAGCTGGAACAATGAGAAACCATCAAATTAATCGAGTTCTCGAACTGACGGACCATACAAAAAGTAGGATATAACGAACTTGAAATTATTCAAAGTAATCAGGGCTGGTCGGTTGCTGTGCCGGCTAGTTTGTATCTCAAAGAGTTATGTTTTCCAGCAATTCCTAGTCACAATTTCGACACAAACAAGGGGGAATGGCGGGCCTCGCTGCTGCCACAGAAAAAAAAAAAAAAACAGAATTAACTGAAATGCACGCTTGCGAAAAATAAGACATCTTCACTGCAACACACTGGTGACACGTGGGCAGCATATCGCCTGCTTCTCCCTGCATCTGCACATCATGATGCGAGTATTCGCCCATTCTTTCTAGAAAAATAAAGAACTTAATAATGGGCAGTGTAACGAAATTTCGATGTGTTTGGGCTAGAAAACATCACCACTGAAGCTTTCCAAACGAGTTTCCAACGTAATGCTGCAGGCAAGAACTCCATCAGCAGTGCAAGTATGCAAATTGCCTGAGCAACTTGCACTCAGAGGTTCACATACATTGCGAATTCCGCTAGACTGTCCTTTAATAATTTCTTTATATTCCCAGAAAAACAGGTTAAATCATGATGCGCTGATGTTGCGAGAAGCCTGAGACATGTGCCCGTGCATCACTGCTGTGTTGCAATGAAACATACTTTGTTTTTCAAGAGCGCACATTAATCTGATCTCGAGACCGTTCTTTTAATATAATTTTATTTTTCGTGCTAGAAGTAGTGAGGCTGGGGTGCTTCAGCTGCCACTCATTAGTACCGCTATGTTGCATTGTTTTAAGACTCTTTAGGGCCATCGTTTCCACAGATTCGCGGCGAAAATTGAATTGAGAATCGACACATTGCACCCAAAGTTTTCGAATTAACCGAACTGGTGCAGACCGCCGCTTCAAATTATCCGCTCAAACTTACATTGCCAAATACTGGACCGCAAAAATACTTCAAATCAAGTGGAATTTCGAAATAACCGAGTTCAAATTATTGAGGTTTTATTGTATTTGGCCTGTTTTGCTGCTAGGTGAAGCGTCTGTTAACTTGTTTATTAAAGAAGAACAGTGGTACAATTCTAATTTAGTTAACGCATACACATTCATAGGTCAAGAAGCCACTGTAGGAGGCAACTGGAAATCTGCAGTTGGTGCGATGCAACTGCAGTTAGCTTACGACAAGAGCTTGGCTTCCAAGTCATTCATTTCAGAGAATGTCGCTGTCTTGAGGCAAAGGAAAGACCAAGATGCACAATTGAACTTGACCGCGTGCAACAGTGTGCTTTATACATGTTACTTTTTTCTGCCAGTAATCTTCAGTGTTTATACAGTATGATACCTAAAAGAGTGGCAAGAAAAGAAAGATGGAAACTAGCGATGAGAAATTCAAAAATAGGTGCTGTTTGCCGGGCCTGACATTTAGATGAGCTGACTTGTCTTTTTCAAGACTGCCACTGATTTCCTTAACGATTGTGTGCTCTTTACATAGTCCAAAAAAGGACGAAGGCTTCGTACCCCCTCCCTTCTTTTTTCTATTGCTCTCCCTTCCTCCTTTGTTTCGATTGAAGGAGAGGGTATAAATCATATACACACAGGCGCTAAGGAAAGCAGTTGCGGACTTGAAAAAGACAAGTCCGCTTGTCAAAACGTCAGCTCCAGCACTCAACACTCGTTCTCAAATTTCTCACAACAGTATGATACATGCTACAATGTCCTAAGCTTGCATTTGTATAGACTTGGAAGCCTGTACTTGCTTAGATCTTGCATTAAAAGAAAGGAAAGAGTTTACATGGTGTTGCAGACATTTACCACTTGACACAAGTTCGACTTCATCTTAAGATCAAGCAATTATAAGCACCGCACTAGAGTAGAATCTCAATGACATGATTACGGTTGATGCGAATTTCGTGATGATACAAATTTGAACGTTTATTTGGATGGACTATATTATATAAGATATGCCGTGATTCGGTATTATATGAACGGTTTCCACAGCCACCGCGAATGATACGAGCACGTGATTGACCTCTGCATGCGAACGGCGCAACACGGCTTATCTGTGGGAGCAAGGTTTATTCACACTTGGCATCGAAGGGAGTGAACGCCGCGAAACTTTCAAACTTTGAAACTTTATTTCAATATTCGAGATGCTGATGGCCATGGTCAAAAAGCCTCTAACGAAGTTGACTGAGACCACGACCCCTTACAAATGCTTACAAACTCACAAGAACTTCCCTCACTTCGCCGCTTAAGTGGCCGGGTAACTATGCCACGAGGCCAACGCGAAAACAATCGATCCAAGACCGATTTTCCGTCATGCAATAGCAGATTGCCTTTTTTCTTCACGATTTTGGCTACACCGTCTGCACTAGCTCTCAAACCACGTGATGAAAACAACGAGCCACAAAATCAACATGGCGGCAAAGGCATCAGCGGTGGCTCGTGTCAGTAGAGCCCCTATTCTAGGCCACTCTAGCATTCGCCCAATCACGAACTATACCCGCACAGCATGACAAATCTCACAGCCTTGAGAAGGAAGCATTTATCAAGAGCCTGGTTCTGATTACAATCGCTGCGAACACCCAAAGTAAAAGAAGGTGCAGAGGCAGCAAGTCTGCATGCCCTAACGTGTCTCACTTATGCAATTGCGGCTGAATTCTTTGCCGCCACTGGCGGTGCGTCCACCCTTGTCGCTTATGCTCGCATATCTCCCGAAACAGCATTTGTACAGGTGCAAACGGTATTTTTTTTAGTGCTTTTCATGCATAACTAAAACTCAGTACAAATTGTAATGCTCAAGAAACGAACAAAATGGGTTGATTCTGAACAGACGAAAAAAGGCAGCGGTGACATGTATATGAGGGGCCGACTAATGTGAACATTTTCGATGGGCATGGGCGTGGTTTTGCGACCACTGTGGCGTTTCCACTTGAATTCTCCCTTATGAAGTTCTCCAGGACTGATTTATTTTGGGTCAACTACGAGGCGAGTGAATGTACAATAGGTTTTGCCACTTTCGTTCCCTTTGATACCAAGCGTGAACGTGCTTTAGGCGTCAGCAGCCCAAGCAAAGTAACCGTGACACTTTATTGAAAGCCGGTGAAAGCAGAAAAGTTCAGAAGATCATCATGGACTTTTTTTTTTTTTCAGCAAGAAGTAGTTCACCCCAGTAAAGATATCGTTCATCTTTACCTTGTTTTTGATTCACGTGAATCCAGGATGATACGAATATTTTGCATGCTCCCTTCAAATTTGTATCATCGAGATTCTACTTATTACTAAACAAATTTTTCTGAAGGCTTCTGTTAGTTTGTAGGAATATGAAACATTTATAAATTGGAGCATTGTTTTGTGTATTGTTAATGTAATGAGTTCATACATAAAGCTATACAAAAAAGCTGAAAGTTGGATAACCTCATACAAACTGTTCCTGAATCACTCCTCTCAATAATGCGGTATTTGCCCCGAGAAAATTCTGAAGTAAATAAACACTATATATATATATATATATATATATATATATATATATATATATATAATATATATATATATATATATATATACACACACACACACACACACACACAGAAATAAATAATAAATATAAATCAACTTTACCTGCCACTCTGCAACTCAATGTGAAGGGAAGTGAATGGCTCCAGGCGCACTAGGTAGTGCAGGACGCCTGCAGAGTTGGAGTAGTGGGTGCCAAAGTGGAACTTCTCCACTGTGCCGGTGATGTCCACAAAGCTGTCATACCTGCAGGGGACACAGCATCGAGAAAACAGCTTTAGCCCTGGCTGCACGTCTAACACAGGAACCTCAACGAATACAAACTTCACATTAACAGTGATGAAAGTGAAATTTTGCTTTTTAGAGCAAATTCTGGAGCAGACATAATGCTACTTTGGAGCACCCGTTAGTGTTTTCAGGGCCGAAAGAAATACTAGTTTAGAAAAGTAATTGGTGTTTTTTAGAGCAGATGGCAATACATTCCACATCATTTAAGGGGAGATGCTACTCGAACAAAAAGTTTCTTTAATCTGTAGCAGTGATGCTGTTGGCTTAGGCTGCTCTAGAGCAGCTTTTGAAGCAGACCAAAATTCGTTTTGGAGGAGCAAAACTGGCTTTCGGAGCAGATATTGCCAGAGTTAATTTTAAGACACATATAGTGTTCACAAATAAATCCGTAAACAGGGGTTATGTGCTGGAGGCGACGTTTCAATAAGCGGTCTTGCCTTCTTCAAAACAGAACTGCTCAGTTCTAGCCTTGACAAATCCGCTTGTCGAAACGTCGGGCCGACACTACCCTGGGCCTGTTTACGAATTTTTTCATCAGAAGGTTCCATCCACCTCTTCCTGCCGTTTTTTGAATACTGCGTTCATGACACACGAACGATGAAATTGCAATGTGCTGCATGCTATTCAAGCGGAATAGAGCAAAAAAGAGAACTATATAACCGACAGCTAACCTGACCACATTTAATAAATGAAGCTAATGTTAAAATTTAAAACCATAGCACTTCATTATAATGTGACTGAAAATCAGTTGACAGCCGATTTTTCAGAAGCCAGATTTTTCAGACATGCTTGCAAATTCAGAGGATTTCTTCAACTGCATCACAAGCCCTCGACATCTATGTATAAGAACATCTGAAATTTTCGGCGTTGAAACTTTTCGACGTCCAATTTTCTGGGCTTTCAGCAGACAATCCTTGTATGAAATAGCATTACTTAAAGTCCCTACCTGTGCTACGTCTATGACCTCGTGGATTAAACTAGTGCTTTTAACAATAATTTGGCAGTAATGTCCAAAAGCCGGCTTTGCCGCAATGCATAAGTGCTATGGGGTGAAGACCTCACAAAAATCGAAGGGGCTGGTATTACCGCGTAGTGAAGTGATGTCTAACGGATGAGCACCGGAAATGCTTGAAGGCGTGATGGCAGCAGTGAAATACGCCAGTAAGACTTAATCGCTTTATGATAAGCATCTTCAGCTAATTGCTTGTTACTGCATGTCGTGCAGCTGTCACTGTACAGCACGCTTTTAATCACTCACGTGCGCCGCTGTCCATGCTGCCATTCTGTGTGAATCCGCTCAGTGTGCCGCACAGACGCGGTGCCCTCACGAATGAAGGCAACTCGCCATCGCGGCGTGTGTGTGCGATCAGGAATAGAGTGGCCATCAAGAACACATTTTTATGACCTCAAGTAGTTTCGTTTCTGAAAGTCAGAGCATGCCTTTTGGGGCAGGTTGGGTGCAGACTCGCCAAATTTTGAGGAAATATAGCATCCTATAGCAGCCAGGGCCATTGGGCACAATTGGTGCAGCGGTAGCATCACTGCTGTAGCCTAGGGAAATAAAATTTTGCTGTATACAAAGGCTTTTGTGCTGATTTTCAAATATGTAGTCAATTTTATAGTAAGTTGCATAGTTTTTGTTATGTACCATGACAATGTGGAAAATATAATTCTTTTTAGATGCACATTTCTCGCTCCTAAATTTTATGGCTCTGAGCCATCAATGACTCATATCACTACACATTAACTTTAGAATGCAAGTTACTAACAAGAAAGTGCACTTAATGGACAATAAAAATTGTAATTTGAGAAGTCTTCGAATACTCAGACCATACTAACTGCTTACTTTAGGTTCGTAATAATTATACAGGCGATACCAAGGAGATACTTGCACTCTTCACATTTAAGTGGGCGAAATTTCATCCTGATCTGGTTATCAGAAGTACTGAATAGATGATGACAACTCTAGAAGTTGATGAAAATTGTGTCTTGAGAGAAACGCATTTTATAGGTATAAGTTATAGCTCATCTATGTGGCAAAGATATGTTTATTAAAATAATTTTGTATCATGAGAGCTTGGAAATCATGGTTATCTGAGTACGTGGCTTTGGTGAACTGCTCATGCAAAATGCAATTGCAAGGAGCCAGATGATGGTGACAATTTACAGGGGACTCCAGACAATGAGCTCGTTTTAATAGCCACATTGTGCTGTTTAAAAGCCATTTTAACCCACTACGGTTTTAAATCCGATCTTCAATTTTTTTCGTCGTGAAATTATAGAAACTAAACTCGTGAAACCAAATAAAAACAAAAAAATATGTAGTTTTGGGGAAAAAAACTTGCATTTTTCGACTCGCATCTCCCCTTAAGCCTTTCATAAATATTAATATTAAATATATTGCACATACCATGATTGATTGATTGATTGATTGATATGTGGGGTTTAACGTCCCAAAACCACCATATGATTATGAGAGATGCCGTAGTGGAGGGCTCCGGAAATTTTGACAACCTGGGGTTCTTTAACGTGTGCCCACACACCATAATCAGTGTTAATTTGAAAAGAACACAATTAAGCAGATGGATGGTCATTGAACATTATACAAGATGAGATATATACCACATTAACTCGTGAAATAAATGCACTTGCATAATAAACACACCCCCTACATTAATTCGCTCTAGTACTGCTAACCGACACCTGGCGCCTCCTTGCCTGTCGAATATCTTCCAATTTTTTTATTATTTTGCCGACCCCCTCGGCCACCTCAGCTCGCTCCTCCTCCCCACACCTTCTGGTTTGCTACCGCGCGCCGTATTGTTTTTTTTTTAGGTGTGCGCGGCACGTCCAATGTCTTCTTTTTATTTATCTATGTGCCACAGTGGTGTTCACGAATGGTGCGAGTGTAAAGACAACGTAGCTGTCAAGCACACAGCGAGCAAAGGCCATGGAACTGCCTGCGCCAACTAACAGTCGCTTCCTGCAAATACGAAACTTTAAGGCTCAACCATATTCACGCAATTTTCGAGCAAACACGACAAGATGTGCTATTCGTTGCCATCACGTCGCACGTTTCTGAAAAACCAGAAAAAATAACTTGTCGCCCAGAAAAGAGAGTGACGATTTCCGCAACATGGTAGCCCCCCATTCTCGCTTCAGTTGCAATTAGCTCTTCGTGTTTGTTATCCGCACGTAATTCAAGAAATGCATGATGCAGGCTACCTTTTCTACAGTAACTTCTCATGTGCACAGTGAGGCGGCGGCTGTATTTTGCCGGTAATCTTGTTATGGACGGTTTATTTTGATGCTTCGGTGGTAGCTCGCCGCAATGTTGGCTACTTGTTACAATGTCAACGGAGTCGTCGCGGTCATCATGCGAGGTTGCAGCGAAGTTATAAAAGTGCGTTATAGTGTCGTGGCGCACGCTTCTGGGTGCATCTTGAGATCACAACAGATACCACTGTCGCTGTTAAACGATTGCGAGAAAAGACAGCCGCGAAGCACTTTTATGGTGTGCGTGGCGGCGCGAAGACTGCTTGCAGAAGATAGTGCCATCAACCACCGAAGATGAGTGAAGTGCGACAAAGAAGTTGTTTCTAAGCAGTGTGCGCGTATGCTAGATCGCAAAAGGTCAAGTGACCTAACTTTTTTTTTTGTATTATCGCATTTTTTGCTCATACAAAAAAGTTTTCATAAAATTTACCCCAGATAATTAACGCACCCCCAGCTAACCTCCGATCTTTCAAGAAAAATGATGCGTTCATTATGCGAGTAGATACGGTACTTAGAATACCAGTACTTGTTGCAGAAATTATATCGAAGCAACGAAGCTCAACTCCAAATTATTAAAGTAACGATAAGTACATAACACCGTCACCAAAAAAGCAGTTTATATGAGGTATCAGATCAAAGCAATCTGTTACTTTCATACTTCACCAACACAGCGAACAAATATTCTTTTTTATCTTCAACTTGAATATAACAAGGGGACAGCCTTACTTTTCTTAAGCTCAACGACATGGTGTGCCATGTCGTACATCCTGTGATGCATCGGTAGCTTTGAAAATGGTGTTTCTAAGCAAACTTCAACTTCATCTCGCGGTGAGTAATCGGTTTTTTCTGAGGGTTCTCATGGCTTCCTTTTACTCGGTATTTTCGACAGCATTACTGAATGGTCTCCAAGCAAGTTGAAATCAATCTTAAAGCATGGTCTGGGTTATAAAATGTTGTTAACAGCTATTTAAGTTACATGTCCCCGATTGGGGCCTGTAGGCCTTAAGACCACATTATAAATAACCAGGAACTTGAGTGAAGAAGAAATGCGGTAACTCGTGCAAGAGAACAATGCCGATCTTTCACATTCTGATGATACTGTGTTTATTGGCAATGATGCCAGTGGACGGCTTTAGGAAACTTCAACCACCTGGCGTTCTTTGATGTGCATTGAGATCACACAGTACATGGGCCTCCAGCGTTTCATCACCATCAAAATGCGACCACCATGAACAAGACAGAATCCATGACCGTAGGGTCAGCAGCCAAAGTAAGCAATACTAAACCTTCTGTTTAACTTACTTGGCCTTAACCTCTTCAATGTTTTTTGGGTTGACAATGCCAATCGGGCGTGACAGGTCTCGGTAAACAGAAGGGCTGTCCAATTCTAGCTTGGGAGAGGTGTAGTCTGCGAGGACCCAGGGAAACTGAAATGAAATAATGAAGTGTTTAGCAACACCAGGCTTTCAACACCAGTGATACCAACACCAGCTTCACTTTTGGCTAGTGTGAGTTGTTGTGGCTGAACATTTTTTTCCTGTAATGCTGAAACCATTGCACATGTCATTCAACAGTTACATCAGAGAAAAAGTGCATATACAACAATCTATATACTAACATTCCTTATTGAACCTGAATGAATATCACTTATCTAGTTTAGAGCAAGGTTGAATTCAATGGTAATTCATATCAAATAATTTTGAAGGAAAATAAAACAGTAGTATAATTTGAACAGTTATAAGCAGTGCAAATTACAGTGTAAAAATACAATACGTTTTAATATTTTCCACACTTAGCCCCTATAATCCCATCCGACCTGTTTTTAAACATTAAAATTAAGTTACTTGGGATGCAGGTAATGTTGCACACTTAACCTTACAGTGCGGCTTTGCAGCAGTGCACATTTCTACTGAGCAGGCAGTATCACAGCATATGGGCTTGACACTGCAGTGAAGCCACCTGTGCAAGAAGGTCATCTTACTCCATGTAACGCTACAGTTACATGGAGTAAGATACATCTATTTATTTATTTTACATACTTCGAGATTATGGGAATTTTAAATTCATGTTGAAGCGAATTCAAACACTTTAGTAAGTATTCAGGTATTCAAAATGCTTGATTATTTACCCAGGCATACCCGTTATTTTCGCATCCATCTGCCACAATCACTTCCCCACATTCTTTATCAGTGGGGCCATCTCTCGGCCTACAGCCGCCTCTCTCCTGCCCATACTACCACTGCCAAGCAGTTCTTGCGTGTTTCCCAACCAAGGATTATGAATTATTTGTGGGCATGTCCTGTTCGGTTTTATGATATACGCTGTCAGCTAACCAGCATGCATATTCAACCTATGCCTGACATTTGAGGGCCTCTGTACAGAATGTAAATGAGGACATAGCATATGCGAAAACATTGTGAGCAGGTCACTTAAAGGGTGCTTGCTCAACTTACGACCGGGTACTGGCTGAGGTCATTGTAGGTACGCCCAGCAATGGTGTTGAGGTGCATGAGATACTCGAAGTTGGAGATCTCTCGGTTCACCCAGCGCTGAGTGAGCCCAGATGCGCGAAGCAGCTCAGCGGGAGAGCGTGTCCCAGACGAGTACAGCAAATTGGGAGGATGCAGGGCCACCACGCGACCAAATATCTTGTTTCGTATCTGCGCAGTCATCATCATGTAGCATAAGGAAGTTTCCAAACAGTTAGAAGCAATTCAGCGTACATGATGTATTACAGTAGAATCTCGACAATACGATTATGGTTAATCCAAATTGTCGTGATAATACTAATCTTAAGGTTGTTTCGGAGAGACGTCATATAAAATGCACTGCTGTGATTTGGTGTTTACGAACGGTTTTTTCAGTCACCGTGGATGTTATGAACATGCGATTGACCGCTGCATGTAAATTGCGCAACACGGCTTGTCTGTGCAGGAAGGCCCATTCACACTTGGCCTCGAAGAAAGTGAATGCAGCAAAACTACTCAGAATCGCGCTCGCTTTGCTGCCTAAACAGCCGAAAAAATCACATTGGGAGGTGGGCGTGAAAATATCGGTCCGAGACCCAACTTTTCTGCCGCGCGATAGCAGATTGCCTTTCGGCTTAATGACTTTGGCTACACTAGTGCCATGAGTAAGAGGGCACGAGGCCACGTGCGTGAGACCCCGAAGGTGGGCAGACGCGCCACCTTCACATACAAGATTAGTCGGAAAAAATGTTCGTGGCACGTGACCCGAGTCGTAATGGGAAACCTCAGAGGATGAGCTGTCACTGTCCTGTCACTGTCCTGTGTCCAAACTGTGAAGGTCAGGAAGGGCAGCGTCACTACAGCGACGAGAGCAGTAGCTGCCCGGTTCTGAAGGATGTCGGCGTTAGAGGACTGGGATGTGGCCTTCCATCTTGGAACACTTGAGAGAAGCTGGCCGGACTTGCCGTAACATTGCACAGCAGTTCCTGGGAAGACTACAGCTCTTGCACTTCGAGCAGGAATGTATGTGTCCCACACCATCGAAGTGCATCATCAATAAGGCCATGGACAAGTTGGGTTTGACCAAGCAAGCCAAAGGTGATGAATAAAACCGGGACACTAACAAAGAAGCCGAGCGGATCGTCAATAAGACACACGCTGACGATGATGATGGCAAGACGATATCACTTCGTCGTAGTTCTGATGGTGGCATCTGAACAGTAAGAATGTTCTACTATTGCGGGATCCCAAGAGAGTAGCCACCGAGATGCCATTTTGACTAGAAAGAGATTAGGCTTAGGACTGAACTTGACTCGGATTATTATTAGTTCCAATTTTCTTGCATCACCGATTATTGTACAGTCGAACCTCGATGCATCGAACGGCACGGCGATCGCGAAATAGCTCGATATATCCAGAATTCGATATAAAAAAATCACGAAGAAAATGCGTCAACAGCTTGCTGAAAATGACCAACGAACCGTTCAAGCGTGGTGCAGTAAATACTCACTTGAAGATTGAAACATAGTATTTATTGTGTTGGTTTAAAATATTGAAAAAGAGTAGCCTGCTTTTTGTTGGCCATGGCGTGTTTGACGACTGCGTCCTCAATATAGTCCAGGCGATCCATAAGTGATAGGCCTGTCCCTTCAATCGCGCCGCCACTGCGGCGCACAAGGGCCAAGGCAGCTACAACCTCAGCTGATGTCCGGAGCGGGGCACCATCAGCGCTTGCGGAATCCACCTCAGCAGAGTCTTCATTTGGCTGCTCAGCAATAGCTTCGGCGACAATCTCCACATCCGTGAGCTCCGCCGTTCGGAGTTAGGCCTGTCGCGCACCACAGCGCGCGGCAGGCCCAACTCCGAACAGTGCGCGACAGGCCTAACTCCGAACGCACGAACACTGCGAGCACAACGACCGATGCCTGCTGATGCTACGGGGGAGGAGCTTGCAACAAGTGCGCAGTGTGCCATTGACACCATAGAGACTGCAACGACTGCAAGCTGCAAGGCTGCGGCGTGAGTGGTGGTGGTAGGGGTTAGAAGATGAGAAAAGGCACCTCATTTCTGCAACCCGGTCGGGAGCACGGCGCAGTGCCTGCATGAGTCCGGGTGTAAAGCGTGCACATGGCGCGCCCATGCCGGCTCACCTGACTGCTTTCCCTTTCCCGGCGGCAGCGCGGGCCGCGTCCGAGACAGTAGTCTGCATCCTTTCCCTCCTACACTTTCCTCCTCAATCTTTACCTCCCACTCTCCCTACCTCGCGCGAAGCCGTGTCGGTGCCTTCGTATTGAAAGAAAATAACAGCTCCGCGCTTTTCTCTTCACTTTCCTCATTCAAGAACCTCTACCGCAAGGCTGCGGCGCGCGTACGCCGCTACGTTAAAGTGGCGCTCTCGGCGCCATCGATGTTTGCAGCATTCGTAAACGCCCGCCGCTCTACTGCTACTTTCGAGAGTTGCGGGAAAGCTCGCCGCCTGTCAATGCAGCGCGGGCGGTTTGGGGTGGCTGAGTTCGATATATCCATTATATGTCAAACTTTGTTCGAAATAAAAAATCAATGATGCATGCGATTTCCCGCGTGATATAGGAACCGTCGATATAGGCAATAATTCGATATATCCGTGTTCGATATATTGAGGTTTGACTGTATAAATGTCTCTTTTTGGTGGTGAATTCTGAGTGTCAGATTGCTTGCTGTTTCGTTTAATATTAAAATGGGTTTGTCAAGTTACCGCCGACTCGCATCTCTCTATCAACTCCACCCGCTGCAAGTGTTCCCAAGATGAATTCGTGACAACTAGCTCAAACAAACCACTCAAGTTACGTAACATAAACAACCGGGCGTAAATTCAACATGGCAGCAAAGGCACTGATGGTAGTGGCTCGCATTGGCGCAATTGCAAACTACCCATGCAGCACAACTAAACTCACTGCCTTGACAAAGACGTGTTCATCGAGAGCCGGGTTTTGATTATGATCCCTGATAGTACTGGAAGTAGAAGAAGGTGCAACAGCAGCGACTTGGCCTGCCCCAACGAGTCTCAATTTTGCATAGCCAGCTGAATCCACCACTGCCGCAGGTGTGTGTTGTTTGTGCGGGCATACCTCCCCGAAATAACGTAGAAAGCCCATCACTCGTAGAAAGCCCATCTATCAAACATTAGCTGATTGGGGACAAGAGAAGAGAGAATGCAATTCCAGCATGTGACATATTTTTGTAACTTCACTCGCACTGGACGGATTCTTAAAATTCTTAAAACTTTTGCGGCGTTGAATTCGTGAGGCAATAAGCTCTTCAAGTGAATTCATTCCATGGTTACATGAAAAGGTGTTTCAGGGCCCCTTTAAAGCACAAAAAAGAAACACACACAATAATGGGCTATACAGCGTAACCAGAACTTTCTTCAACCCGAGTGAAGCTCAATCTTTAGCCCTAATCTTTTCCTAGCCGAAATGGCTAACAGTTCATCTCGCTGTCGCATCGACTGCGTGCTCTTGCCGTGTCGACGGTTTCGTCGAGTCTGTCCTCGACGTCCTCCTCAAGATCCTACCTTCATCGTCGGTAGTTTCCACCAATGTGCCATTTGTCTTCACTGCCAGTGTCCCGGTCTTATCCATTGTTTTTGGCCAGTTTAGTCAAACCCAACTTGTCCATGGCCTTATTGATGACGCACTTTGATGACTGGTGTGGGCTGCATTTGTTCTGGCTCAAAGTGAAAGAGCTGTAGTCCACTCAGAAAATGCTGTGCAAGGTTGCGGCAAGTCTAGGCTAGGGGTGCAACGATCGAAATAGAATTTGGAGTAATTTTTGGAGCAGTGAGATGTTAATTTTGGAGCCTAAAATCCAAATTTGGAGCAGGTTACAGGGACAAAAATTAATTTTTTTATCACGAAAGACCAAATTTGGAGCAGTATCAAAAAGAACGTTTGCATTTTGAAAGAAAGATATGTACAAATCATTTGGCATCCCCTAAAACGTGCAGAGTGATTGTGAGCACTGTTATTTCTATAAAAAGTAGTATTTTGAACCACCCTACTCGACAATCAATGATAAAGTCCATATTGGCATTTGCCATGCCACTCTAATTCATTGGAGGATTCAAATGAGGATGAGCCAAGCTGGTGACCTTAAGGGTGGCGGGAAGAAAAACAAAAAAACTGGCACACTGTTTTGATTTTTTCATGGCTGCACAAATGTTATTCAAAGCTCCAAATGGTTGCCAGTAACCTGCCAGCGATCATAGTGGTACTTACGATTATGTTGCGTATACACGCATGAGTGACTGAACAAACTGTGCTGTGTCCCATGACCGTGGGTCGGCCAACTCGTGAGTCAACTCACTCGGGCTCACTCAGACTCAGATCGAGCTGTGAGCCTGTGTCTAAGTGAGTCCGCCTCAAAAAAAATATTGGTGCACCTGAGCAACTCCAAAGAACAAAATATATTCCTTCACTGAGTCTGAGTGAGTTCCACTTACTTTTGCCGACCTAGAGTCCTATCTAGTCATCTTCAGCATTACTATTCGCCTTACCTAGGTTTATGTTTATACTCGCAACAAGTATTCCAAAGCAGTGTCGTTCATATTTATTAATTACGAGGCGTGAATTATGTAGGGCGTGAATTGACCTATCCCCAGCCACTCTTTCCAGGAATCTGATGATTATTACATCGTATCCTGTCACCTCTTCCAAGACAAATGACCTTACTAGTTTGGAAGCCCTCGGAACTTGTTTTTGAAAATACCATGTCAAATGGCACCAAGAAGATCATCGGCTACGTGAGATATTGGTGTTAAAGAGCATTGAAACCATGGTCAAAGAAGCTAATTTTAGGCTGACGGACTCATGAATCGCCTCACCGGACTCACTCAGAGTCAAATCGAGCCGCGAGTCTGAGTCCGAGCAAGTCCGGCTGAAAAAAATTTTAGCGAGTGTGAGTTCGCGTGAGAACGTCTCAGGAAAATTTTCGCGATTCTGAGTGAGCTCCATAAGTTTTGCCAGCCTGTGCCCGTGACTAATGCTAACAGCCCCTTCCAAATCTTTAAACGCTTTTCCGCCGGCCACCACGCTGGCCACCAGTGTACTGCGGCAAAGGTGGCCGAGTGAAGTCCTGCGCGAGTTAAAACAAGGCCAAAAAATTTTCGAACTGCTACAGCATCCACCCCTCTCTCCCCCCCTCCCCCTTTTTTT